TGTTTGTCACGTCGAGACTTTGTGTTAGACTTTAGACAAGTAATACTACTCACACTAGTCAAAGTATATGACAATGACGCCACCTCCTTGTACTTTCAAGACGCGTTGACCATCAACAACATACTTTTCAATTGCTTGCCTACTGTCGCCCAAAATACCTTACTTTATTTTAGAGATATACTATACATGTTTTTTTTTTTTTACGTAGTAGCAGAGTCAAAATTTCCACCAAAAAAATTCAAAATATGAAAGATACACACACTAAAAAGTTCAAAAATCCAACATCTACTATATATATATAAAATAATCTAATCATGTATAAACATATCAAGTTACGAATAGCTAGGAGTGAAATGAAAATTGTCTAACCTTTATTTTTAGGGAAAATTGTGTAGAATAGCAAACATTTAAACGATATTAAATGCTATAGCTATTGTTTTGGAAAATTGTGATTCACAGTCACTGTTTCGTTAGATCTTGCTATTTGTTTAATTTGTATAATTAACCCAGAATTGTGTAATTTGATTCCTGATCGTATAAATCCTTATTTTGTATATACTTACCCTAGGTATTTGTATACGATTTATGAAAAATTCACAATAAATTACCATGTTTGTATATCGGCAAGCGAAATATACAAACGGAGTTCTAGAAAATTTCTAAATGTATAAGTACATAATTTATATATACTTATCTTATTTGTATATTTCCAAGCGAAAATATACAAATAGCCCGAAATATACAAATCGGGGCTTCCATAGCAAATAAAACTATAGCTACAAAGTGCAATTATCATAACTATAACTATAAAACGTTATTCCTTATAGGGCAAACTACATAAATTCCACTAGTTTAGGTCCTAATTATGAAGATTTCCGATAGTTTCAAATATTACTTCTTCTATCATATTTCGTTCTTAGGATACATCAGTGTGAATCCGCGAGATACATGTATTTGCCGAATTTTAAAATAGAGATACATATTTTATTTATTTAAATTAATTGGTTGTAACTAATTTTCTTAATTAGAGGAGTGATTGAGAATTTTCAAAATACGTGGACAATTAATTCTGAAAATTTAAATTAATTAAATCTATTAATATAAGGTAGAAATCAATTAGTGTTTCTATGTTTAATTAGTTTAATTTTATAATTCTTTGAAATAATAAATTCATTAATATTATTATTAAAAGACAAAATCATGTATATCTTGGTCATGTAATTTGATTAATTTCATTTTAATACTCTTAAAAATAATAAATTCATTAATTTGATGTATCTATTATCAATATATGATGTATCCAACAAATTAAACACTAGATTCATGAGTATCATACAAGTACATTCATATGTATCATACAAGTATCTAGTACTAATTTTATGTAGTTTGTTATATGTATCTATTTATATGATCTAATATTATTTCATCTATCTTTTATATGTATAATTTGATGTATCATTTATCAAGTATCAATTTCATACTTTATATTCAAAAACATGTATCTCAGTTACATAGTAAGCATATACATCTAATTATGTGTATCTAAATATGGAATGTAATTGAAACGCATGAATTTAGAAACAAATCACGACTGTAGAGTATTTGTTGTATAATTAATAAAAAAAGGAAAAAAAATTGAAAATTCTTCCTTTTTTTTTTTAGTATCTAATTTTATTTTCTCATAGATACATTAACTCTTAACTAGATACATGTACATAATACCCTTCGTATATCTCTTCTCTTCAACAGAGACCAATGCCACCTCCATTGCACGTCTCCTCGCCTTCATGAAATCATCGTCTCCGACAAAAGCTTCACCAAACTAGCAGGAAATCTTTTGTTCTTCGTTGCGCTCTTCTCCTAGGTACACTGAGGAATTGAAACTTGATGATGTTGTACATACTATCCATTATTATTGTAGTCAGTAATATTTTCCCCTTGGTTTAGTGTGTTTCTATACGTTCCTATTCTTTTCTTGAAAAAGGATGTAATTCTAAGCCCATCAATTTTGACTCATTGGTTAACATGAGGATTAAGGGAAGAGGAAGAGTTTGAGTTTTACCCTAACTCATATTCTTGGATAGGAAGATATTTGTTTTTAATTAAAACACTAATTTTGGAGTTTAAACGTAAAGATAATTAATTAATCCTAGTTTTAAGGGATATGGATATTGATTGTATCTTCAATAATATATGATATAAAATATTAAAAGTGGTAATATATGTAATTGTTTAAAAATAGAGATAAAATTAATATATATAATAGTGATGTATGTCTAATAAATTAATTTATTCTTTATATTTATTGTGTTTGCTTATTTCTAACTAAAATTACTCTTTTTTAACGGTGGGATTGAGTCGGGGTCATTTGATCAGTCATATGGCCCATTTAGGTAGTTTATAGACTTGTAGCCCATTAGAACCAGAAAAAGAAAAGAAAAACTTAAATTTGGAGTGTATGAAGTCCACCATTTCATGTGAAGGAATTTAAACACACATCAAATCTCCTTGTCGTCTCTGCTTCCTTTTCTACACTCTTGATTGATGGCCGGCCAAAATTTCAATTTACACCAGATCTCCATAAACTGATTCTCAGCTATTAGTCTTCTTCCTTCTAGATTACTTCAATCTTCCAACTTTATCTGATATAAATTCCCAATTGACTATCCATCAATATTCCAATCTCTTTTTCAATTTGGGAAAATTGGCCGATCTGATCTTCATTAAAGACTGAGTCTTTTATATTCCTAGATACAATCTTGAAATCTTTAACCCAAATGGTCTGTTTACATACCTCAATTCCTCCAATAGACCCAAAATTAGCCAGGGCAAAATCCAAGATTTCAGCTGCCCATTTTTCGAAATTGAGGCAAATCAATCGGTTGGACAAGAAAAGAAACATGCCGTCAAGTGATTGTGAACAGTCTCACTCTGCTATCATTGATGTAGTGATTTTGATTGCCGTGATTGGTGCTTCTGGGGTTTTGTTGTATCCTTACATAAATCTTGTGGTGCATATACTGATTGAATTTTTCGAAGAAGTTTCTGATGTGGTGAAAGAGGAATTTTTGCGGGCTCCGATGGTGTTTATCTGTCTAGGGCTTAGCATTTTTTTTGCTGTAATTGCTCTTTTGGCAGTGACAGTTTGTACAACAGGGAGAGGATGTGGGAGACCAGGTTGTCGTCGGCTTAAGAAAGCTGCTGAATTTGATATACAGTTAGAGACAGAAGACAGTCTTAAGAAGTCAAATTTGATTCCAAAAACTGGAGGAGTTAAAAAGGGGATATTCAAGTTACCTAGAGATTACCATCAAGAATTGGAAGGTGAACTTAAAAGAATGGCTCCGCCTAATGGTAGAGCGGTTCTTGTGTATCGAGGCAGATGTGGTTGCTCTATAGGTACAATGGAAATTCCTGGACCAAGGAAGACTGGAAAGTTTAAGAAATAATTTTAGGAAGCATATTTTGGATGCTGTAATAATCAGATGATGCCTTTGACTGGTAATCTTCTCTGAAAAGAACTAGACCCTTTTATAAGCTTATATATATATGAGTATAAATTATTACAAAGAACAGGAACGCTTATTATAATGTAACAGGGGAATCTGCCATTTCCGCTACCATAATAGTGTAGTCCATCGATCCCCGTTCCTGTAAATTAGTTAAGTACTATTTGGGCCACAGAAGATGTGTTTTGTGCAATAGCTACATAAACACAGTTTGACCTTGTTGATTGAGAATCTTATCTATGGCTATTGCTGTTTTACTGGTATGTGTGTCCCCATAGCTAATTCTCGCTGACCACGTCTTATAGGATCAGTTTATTTATGGTTTTAGTGTTCTCTTTCTGGAGTACTTTATATCTCTTCTTGCAAACTTATGTTAGTTGTTTATTTTCTGTTGCTATTTGCTTTAGTTTGATGACTACATTCTGCCAATTAGGTTTAAAGGAATAGTCAGAAGTTCAACAATCATACTTCAATGTGTAGTACTTTCTCGAGCTGTATAAAAAAAAATCATATCAGATGATCATGTATTGAAGTTGCTTGAATTGCCTATGTCCCTCAACTGCTACAGTTGGGAATGAAAACATTATCTATGTACATAATTGATGTTCTGAGCCATTGGAAACAGCCTCTCGACTCTATAAAAATAGGGTAAGGTCTGCGTACATCCTACCCTCCCCATACCCCATTTGTGGGATTGCACCGGGTATGTAGTTGTTATTGTGATACATAATTGATGTTCTCGTAATGGAAGTTCTGCTCAATTGTTTAGACTTTTTTTCAGTTTGTTGTGCAACTGATGTCCTAAACTGCTTAATCTGCTCAACTGGGGTAGACTCTGAGTCTTTTAGCTGATTGTCAATGTGCTTTTGTGCTACTTAAACTATGTCATTGAACACACAAATCTTTGAGTTACAAGAATGGGCAGTGTTCGTCCTTGTGTGCCTTATATGATTCTTCGTTTGGTATATTACTACTACTGTCATAGTACTAGTATGTTTTTCTTCTTATGTCGCTTACTTTCTTGATGTTTTTGCCTGTGGGTTCAAGTCCCCCAAAAAACAAAAAGTACCTCTGATTGAGCCTTACAACAAGTCTTTTAAACAATTTAGATGACATTTGTGAAAGACCTCTTTGTTGGTGTGTTAAAGGCCTAAGTTGAATGTTTTTATATTGATACAAAACAAAGTTTAATAACTTTACGAGATAAATTATTAAACTTGAGTGATCTTTTGAGATATTAACTCTGTTTTATTATTATGTGGGCAGGCAAGAACATTTGTATGTAGTCAGTTGATTGTCTGGTTAAATTTCTACTATGTGACTAAACCAGAGTGGTAGATGTAAGCAGTTGATTGTCTAGTAAAAATTCCGCGTAAACTTGGAAAAGACGACTCTATTAAGAAAAATCATTTAAGTACTATTTTTTGGTAAACAAGAAAAAATCTTTACCATCTCTTTTGAGAGATTATTATTCATCAATCCACTCTCGTATTAACTAGATAGCATATAAAGTAAACCAAAATAAACAGAATAAAAAACACAACCTAAGATGCTCTCAATGTATATATCTGTTTGTTCTTCATCCAACTCATTAATACTACTACCAACACGTCTAATACTCTCTCTCAGAGTCGGTGTTCTCCCGGCCGTCACGACAGCCGCAGGCATCTTGTACCTGCAAACAGGACAGGAACCATGTATCTCCAACCACTGGTTAATACAATTTGAATGATAACGATGTTTACATGGCATCTCTTTAGCTTTTTCCCCAACTTGAAACTCCGACAAGCAAATTGCACATTCACTTTCCTCTTCTATAATTTTAACAATTGGCAGTGCTTCTACTGAAGCCTGTGCCGCTGGTGGTGAAGGCCCGGCTTCATACTGGATGTATGAACTCCTGCGCGCCATCAGAGTGAGATCCCGAAACAACGTTGGCATGGTAAATTGAAGTACTTGGTATAGGATGGATGGGTGTATATAAAGTGTATATTCTCGAACCTAGTTCTAGTTGGATTTGGAATAATATACTTTTAACAGCACTAATTATAAACCAATATTTAGTAAGGGCATCTAATGGAGGGGTGTATATATAGTGTATATTCTCGAACCTAGTCCTAGTTGGATTGGGTGGGAATAATATACTTTTAACAGCACTAATTATAAACCAATATTTAGTAAGGGTGTCTAATGGAGGGGTGTATATATAGTGTATATTCTCGAACCTAGTCCTAGTTGGATTGGGAATAATATACTTTTAACAGCACTAATTATAAACCAATATTTAGTAAGGGTGTCTAATGGAGGGGTGTATATATAGTGTATATTCTCGAACCTAGTCCTAGTTGGATTGGGTGGGAATAATATACTTTTAACAGCACTAATTATAAACCAATATTTAGTAAGGGTGTCTAATGGAGGGGTGTATATATAGTGTATATTCTCGAACCTAGTCCTAGTTGGATTGGGGAATAATATACTTTTAACAGCACTAATTATAAACCAATATTTAGTAAGGGTGTCTAATGGAGGGGTGTATATATAGTGTATATTCTCGAACCTAGTCCTAGTTGGATTGGGTGGAATAATATACTTTAACAGCACTAATTATAAACCAATATTTAGTAAGGGTGTCTAATGGAGGGGTGTATATATAGTGTATATTCTCGAACCTAGTCCTAGTTGGATTGGGAATAAATATACTTTTAACAGCACTAATTATAAACCAATATTTAGTATTAAGGGTGTATATTCGTAAACCTAGTCCTAGGTGGATTCGGAATAATATACTTTTAATAGCACTAATTGAAAACCGACATTAGAAAGGGTGTCTAATGGTTTAGTTTGGTTAATTGGTTATTCAAAGATTTTATATCATATTAATTCTGCGGTTATTTTATTGTCTATAGTTAAAATTTGATTTTTCAAAATCTTGGTTTTTATTGGATATTTTTTTCAGTGCGATTAATTTTCTGTAATGTGATTTTAAAATATCATTTAATAATAGGGGGCATAGTAACTAGGTTGTTGTTTATTATGTAAAATAATAACTAGTTTCAATGCACTACTAGTTTTAATATACACATATAGGTTAATTATATAAAAAATATTATAGTGTTACAAAATTAAGAATTTCCAATGTCACAGACTTGATAATTTTGAAAGGTTAAAGCCAAAAAAAATGAAAGAATATTAATTAAAGCTGAAATTTAGAATTTTATTTATTAACTCTAAATTAAATAATTACTTTAAATTTTATTTATGAAAAGAAAAGGAAGTCAAAATCAAATATTAATCTAATTGGCTACTAATTTATTTTCCCCTTAGATTTTGAAGTTCTAGGTTTCTAATTAAGAATTATTTTGATAAGTATAGTATTAGTTTTGAACTATTTCAAAAAATAAAATTATAAACTATCATCTAGAAAGTAATTAATTATTTTTATACAAATAAATGATTAAATTATCAATTTATTCTTCTTAATGAGCCCTTTTAAAAATGAAAAAGAAAAAAAGCATAAGGTCAGCAGCCGCAGACATTCGAATGTGCACCTTGACTAGTCCTAAGCACCTCGCAACGCCGGGCCACATCATCTCGTTGTTTTAATGGTATTCAAAGTGTATAATTTACTCATTTAGAATATCATTATACATAAATTAATTTTTAATAAAATTGTTTGTGTGATTATCTCTAATCTACTATAGCTTTGTTCCTGATTGTCACAATGTATAAATTGTATACAAGATTAGTTGTTTGATCAATTTTTTTTATTTATATTTGATTTTAGGTGGTTTGTCGCATAAAAATATTAGTGCTTTATAATTGTCTAAATATAAAGACATGACTTATTTAGTACTCTGATTTTTCATCTAGGAAAAAAAGTTTCAAGGCTTGAATGTGTTTCTCTACATTCACTCCTATTTTGGAGTTTATTTTTGTTAGATTTCAATTAATCATAATAAATTTTATTTTCCATATATCATAAAAAGGCTAGAAGATTTATTTTTTCTAATATCATTATTATGTGACACTTCAAAATTGGTGCTGATAGAGAAGTATCAATCGCTGCTAGTGTAAGTATTAGTGGTTATATTAGTAAAACATTGTGTATATGTTTTTACTTCTTTTTGAAAAAATTACTGTATTGTTTGCATTTCTAAAATTGTATAAATGTATAGAAATAACTTTTGATCTACTCAGTTTTTCTGCTTATTATAAAATGGTATAAATAGTTTCATTCCGATTAAACTGAAAATTTTTAGCTCCCTTACACTTCTAATTTTAACATATAGCAAAATTAAAACTTTGGCCATCATATATTAAGTTCTTCTATAATTGTACGAAGTGCGAGTAATTTCTCTCATCTAATACAATAATAACACACTTATATTGACATGAACTTTTTGCAATTTAGACGGCTAAATTATTGACTAAAATAGACAACTTATGAAAGAATTGGAAGTCTTATATATGGTTCACGGCATCTTATACCTACAAATTGGACAAGATGCATGTATCTCTAACCATCTGTTAATACAATTTGAATGATAGCGATGTTTACATGGCATTTCTTTAGCTTTTTCCTTGACTTGAAATTCTACCAAACAAATAGCACATTCGCTCATCTGTACGATTTCAACATCTGGCAATTTTTCTATTGAAGCCTTTGTCGCTGGTGGTGGTACGGTACTAGTCGTCCTGATTATTGGCTCCCAATTCGTAGTCCTAGGCTCTGCCGTCGGAACAACTTCTCTCATGTTTTGTTGTTGCGGGATCCGCGATCGCTCATGCTGCTCCGCCTGATAGAGTGCGTCGCTCAGCGCGTGGAATCGCGCCATAGCTGCCGGTGGTGGCTGTGGCTGTGGCTGTGGCCGTGGCCGCGGCTGCTCACGGAAAGATCTTCTTCTCGTATTCATAGTATATTTGATGAATTAATTCCCGGACGACAAATTATAGTATGTATATATTCTTCAACCTAGTTTTAGTTGGATTTAGAATAACACAATTCAATTACCGAAATCCTAATTCCTAAACCAGAAGGTAATAGGATAGAAACTCTGTGTTGTTCGTTTAGTAGTTTAGTTTGTTAATTAGTTATCTCAATTTTTATTTTACTGGTAAAAATTTGATTCATCTAATTGGTAGTTTAATTTCCCACTTTGTAATCCTCTTTTCAATTTCCCTTGCCCTTATTTATAATTTTAAAAATTTACTCCACCTAATTTAACTTAACACAAAATTTAAGAATATAAAAAATAAAAATAAAAACTTTCTAATATATCATTTGGTCATGAATTAAAGTTAGTTAAACGTATCAAAATGTATAACATTAAATATGTCACGTGAAATATTGAAATTAAATTGTTACAATTAAATAAAAAAGGACTTAAATATTTCGAAGTTAGATTCTCTTAAATCTTAATGCACAAAAGTGTGCAACCAATAATAGAGTCGAAAGTAATTTGCTAAACTAAAACACTAGGCAAATAAAATATGAAAAAAATTGGAAGTCAGAAGCGATTAGTGTCAAAATTTCTTGGTTAATCCAAGTCAAAATTGTCCACTAATTCTGGCCTCTCTTATACATGCAAAATGCACAGCATTCCCATATCTCTAATCACATGTTAATACAATTGGAATGATAGCGATGCTTACATGGCATCTCTTTAGCTTTATCCCCTTCTTGAAACTCCAACAAGCAAATCACACACTCACTTTCCTCTTCTATAATTTCAACAATTGGCAGGGGAAGACACCACTCAGCACCCGCTCCGTGGGGTGGGTTTCAATGCCTAACAAAAAGGGGAGAGAGGGAGACCACTGATTCTGTTGGCTCTAAAAACTGAGTGACGAGAATCTGTCTTTACTTAAACCTACGAAAGTTCCCCTTAAGCTGATCACTCTGGTCACTCAGATCTTGCGCCTTTATCGAAATCTATGTGGCAGTTAAAAATCCCTCCTTTTCAATATATTCGAAATTTTGCGGTAATGGTGAGAATGCAAGTATTAAATAAACAAATAACCACATTGAAGAGTCCATTACTATCAATCTTGTTTGAATTTGATACCTACAAAATCAAATAAGGTGGTTATGGTTGTGGCATGTTATAAGTAACGACATGGTCTATAGTTACAAATACGTATGAAGAAGACAGGCCCTTTATGTGTGTGTATAAATAGTGTCATGAAGAACCTAGGGTTGATATTCAATAACAATGATTCTCATTTTTATAATGTTGGTATCCCGGTCAGTAGTAAGGGTGTACAAAACCGAAAATTGAGTCAAATAAAAAAAAAACCAATTAATGGTTTGGTTTGGTATTAGAAAAAAACCCGATTATACTTGGGTTGGTTTGGTTTTAACTAAAAAATGTCAACTCGAGACTAAATCAATCCGAAATTATATATATAATTTTTAAAATTTATTTTATAAATAAAAGTATTTACTTTGATAAAATTTCTAAATATTACTTTATACGTTTTCATAATTTTTATCTTTTAACATATTTTTTCAAGTTTTTTGAGACTTAAAATTTTGAATGGTTCAATAAATGTTATAGTCCATAGATATTAGTAACTCTAATAAAGCTTAATTCAAAATCAAATCAATACTATATTGCTAACAAAATAAATTAATTCAACACTAAGAATGACAATAATGTTGAATATTTGTTCTTTAGTTTTACATTGGTTTAGACATTTAAAATACATAATCTAATTTTAATTTTTCTTTAATGTTTAATCATATAACTAATACTTACTATTAGACTTATTTTACTATAATTTAGTACTTTTAAATTACGTTCATTTTCATTATGACTTTGCAATATTTATTTTATATGATAATTTCTTTATTATTTTTTATTGAATATTTTAGTGTCAGCACTCATCTCATATTTTGTGTTATTTTCTTAAAAAACACCTTAGATAGTTGTATTTTGGTTGAACTAAAAATATATTTAGAGCACAAGTTAATTATATGTTTGTATGCATACTTTACCGGAAAAATCCAAAAATCTGGAAAAAAAAATTCCAAGGTTTATTAGTTTGGTTTGATTTAAAATTTTAAAAATTCAACACATGGTTTGGTTTGGTATCTGAAAAATTCGAACCAGCTCGAGGTTGGAAAACCCGAAAAAAAACCCGAATTTTATTAATTTAATTTGGTTTATATATTTAAAAAATTTACACAAATAATTTAATTTGATATTTGAAAAACTCAAACTAATCCGATCATGTACACCTCTACCGATCAGCTTGTGTACACCTCTTGAAACCTAATGATTACTAACCTCTTTATTAGCCAACATCCTTCGTGGAAGTTTTTTAGCTCACTTGTTTCCACTTTTTTTTTTGCAACACTAATGTCCTAAGCTGCGCAGCACTTCAACTTTATACATACAACAGCTTAATTAATCCTCTTGACTATATCTTCCACTTATAGTATCGTGTTTTTCTTGTTGGGTTTAGGATCTTTTTTTCCCTTTCCTATGTGGATAAATAAAAGTCTTATTAGGATCAGTCAATTTTAGCCCATAACCCAAATATTATGTGGCATATATAAGGCTTATTTGGTCTTATTTTCAGAAACACAAGAGAGATTCGTTTTAGAGATGGAGAGAAAAAGAGAAAAATCCCGTTTTTTGCTTCTGGAAATTTTCTGCTCAAGCAATCCGCTTCAGACAGAGTTTGCTGCTTCGTTAATCGTTGGATCGTGCTCAAATTTGAACTGGGAGTTTTTAGCATCTGATTCTTGCAATTCAACGGTGAAGATCGAATTTGGAAATCTGTAGCTTCTGATTTTGTGGCATGAACAGTAGCGCGTTTTTGGGGAGCTTTTGGTCCTGTGATTTTTTACTCTTCACATCGAAGGGTTTTTCACGTAAATCGTTGTGTCTTGTGTGATTGGCTTATTCTTATTTTGTTGCTTTAGTTTGGTTGATATACTTGTTGTTCATTCTTCATATTGTTTGATTTGGTTTGTCTTCTCTTGGTTCAAATTGAAAGGGAAAGTTTAGATTTGAATATTATTCTACTGTTATCCTGTTTGGCATTCTTGTTAGTGCGTTGCCTTTCCCAACATTTTTCCTATGTTGTTTTCTTGTGTTTTTGCATGTGGGTTTAATTTCCAAATAGATACACTGATTTAGCCTTAAATTGATATTTAAGGCCCAAGAAGCTATTTTACTTGGTTAATAGTGTGCTTAATTTGCAGTTAAATTTGGTCAAATTTCTACAAAAACGTGACTAAGACTAGAATGATGAAGGTCGGCGAGTTGATTGTCTTGTGAAAAATTCATGTAAACTTGAAAAAGAGAACTCTATTAAGAAGCAATAGTGTCAAAATTTGTTGGTTAATACAAGTATAAGTTGTCAATTAATTCTGGCCTCTGGCTCCTTCTACAAGGTCGACAGACGGCATCTTATACCTACAAACTGGACAGGATCCCCGTATCTCTAACCAGCTCTTAATACATTTGGAATGATATCGATGCTTACATGGCGTCTCTTTTGCTTTTTCCCCAACTTGAAATTCCACCAAACAAATTGAACATTCACTCATTTGTTCTTCTTGTACGATTTCAACATCTGGCAATTCTTGTGGTGGTGAAGGCCGGCTTTGCTCTATCCTACGTCTCATCAGGAGTAGGATCTGCTCCAAAACTTCTCTGCCTATCCGGACCTGCTCCAAAACTTCTCTACTTATCAGGTTCGAGCGGTTTTCCTGCCGGGTTCTAGATCTCCGCCGCCGCTCTAGGAATGGATCCGGAAAACTCCTCTCGAATCCATGAAACTTGATGAATCAATTGTCGGGATCGAAATTCTTAATTGTCCATAGGCTGGGCCGGTTGGGTATATATACATAGTATTCTCAAACCTAACTTTGGTTGGATTTGGAATACTATACCTTCAATTCACTAACCGAGTAATTATAAACCAACCTGTAACAGGAAATAAATTTTAAACACACAGAATACATGCACTAAAGCCGAAGTAAAACATTGTGTTGTTTTTATGGTACGTTTTTGGTTCCTATTCAAGGTTGAGTATTCATATGAAACCCATTAACTTTGATTTGCTCTCTATCAATAATTTATTCATTAATTAAATTTTAATAATATCCATTTTCAACTTATTAACTTTTACATGTTACTATTTAAATAAATAATTTGTATTCATTAAAAATAATTATACTCAATCATAAGAACTAGATAATTAGTGATATATAAGTTAGTTTGTATATGCATAGTTTAATATTTTTACAATTTTGTAATAATTGGTTCCTTTTAGTATAAAAATAAGTATTCAAAACACTCTCAAACTTGATATGAATTATTAATTTATTCCTCCAATTATTGATAGTCTTGAAAATATATATTTATTTAATTAAGTAATTTAAAAACACTCCTCTTGTACCACATGTCATCTACCCATGTATATGTGGATTATTTTTTTCCTAATGTGGGGTACACATAATATATATATTAAAAACAAATATTAAAGAATTAAATGCTAAAGTTTAGTAAAGAAGATCTTTTTTAAAAAATATTTTTTTTTCTTATTCCACCCCACCCCCTACCGAGGGTACCTAAATAAAAGGATTACTTTTAAAATAAAATTAAAAAAATTCTTACCCTATCCACACATCCCTACCCCCCTTCCCAAAAAAAAAGTTTAAAAGATTTTTTTTTGGGGTTGAGTGGGTAGTGAGGTGGGGGTTGGGCACTGGATAAGGGGTGAGGTGGGGGTACAACCTTAAAATAATTATATAAATATTTTTAAAATGTATCTTTTATTATATATACTAGAAAAAAATGGCCCGTGTCAGCACGGGCCCAACATTATTAAAAACTAGCACGGGCTCCGATGTCTAGTATATATATATACTAGAAAAAAATGCACGGGCCCAACATTATAAAAATTTAAATACAAAATATTAAGATAAAGTTCTGCATAAGTTATTTTTATAAATTCTATATATTATTGTTATTCAAATTAAATTTTTAAATCTCAATTATCTAAAAATATAATGTAGTATTTTTTTTCTTCTTTTTTTCTATCTAAAAATATAATATAGTAGAGGAAGATGTTTTTCAATCACGAGAAATTCTCTCCGAAGCGTAAGGAGTCTATAACCTTTTTCATTTTTA